ACTGAACGAGATGCGTTAGAGTTCATCTTCTTCCGTACCATTATTACCGTCTTGTTCTTCGACCTTTTCTGCTTTTGTCCTTGATTTTCTATTTTCAGTTTTTTGTAAGATTTCTTGCTTCTTTTTATGCAAAATTGGTAACCATCCATCATCTATTTCATCATGGCGATTAATAGATTCGTTGATGATCGAATGAATTGCTTCTTTGTATCTTCTTTTCTTCCAATTTTTGTCGTGGTCAATTACGTGTGCGTTCGATGTGTTGAATAAACATTGATAATTCAGTTTATGGAAATGTTGAACAATTTCGGAATTGGAATTGTGTTCATCTTCTAATATTAATTTTTCATGTTGTTCCATGCGTGCTTTTAGTCCAACTTTTGTCTCTCCAACGTAAATTTGATTACAGTCACATTGTATTCTGTAAATAATTGATTTGGTTTCATTGTTAATATTTGAGTTAAAATATGATCTTATTTTATTTGGATACGAGAAGAACACTTTAATTTGGAGTTTTTCAAGACGTATTTTCAGGACTTCAGCTCCTGGAACGTATGGTATCGTGATCGTGTATTTTGATTGCTCGTCTGTCGGTGTTTTGTCAGTCTCCGTGGTGGTTGTCGATACTGAGTTCGCAGTTTTTAAACTTTCTTGAATTAACTTTCTAATTTCTTTTTCAGGGTAATTTGAATTTATTAACATTGTTGTTAATTGTTGTAAATCTTCCTGTTGTTCAGTTGTATTACGTGTAGTTTGTATAATTCTTGATGCCATATTAGTTATGATATTTCTTTTCAAACTTTTATGATGACACGAATGATGATTGAGTAGTTTTTTTGCTGCTGTTTCTTTCCTAAACCATCGGATATCGATTGTTTTATTCTTCATATTTCTTGTTAACGTTGTATCCAGAAAATTGATTTTATTTTGATTTTCATATTCTAATGTGAAATGTATTTTACTTTTAATTTTGTTTAATTTTTCTACATAATCAGTTAGTTCGGTTTTTGTCATTGTTGTTATCAGAAGGATATCATCAACGTAACGCCAGAAGTAACCTTCTTTATGTACTTCTTTTAAATTAGCTTCGTTGTATTCGTCTAAATATAGATCGGCAAGTAATGGGGAAAGGCAGTTTCCCATAGGTAAACCAGTACCTTGTCTGTAATAATGGTTGTTAAATTCACAATAGCTACTGTTCAATGCTAATAATATCATCGTTCTAACATCTGTTTGTGTAAAAATTCAGTTTTTTGAATGTTTCGGACTGATCAATTCGTTTTATTACAATATCGACTGCCTTAGTTACAGGGATATTAGTGAAGAGATCATTAATGTCTAAACTAGCGAATTTTTCATTTTCTTTCAATTTTATATCCAAAATTTGTTCAACAAATTTCTTTGTATTAATGATGGTGTTTTTGATTGTTTTTCTTAATTCTTTAATTATCGAGAATGCCATTCTGGAAACCGGTGTCGTTATTGTATCTCTTGAGCAGGTTATGAGTCTCATAGGTTCTCCTGTTTTATGTAATTTCACCTGACCACGCATTTTTGGCAGATCATCTATTGAATTAATGTATAACTTTTGGGCCAGGGTAATTTTATTTTGTTTTAATAATTTTTCACTAAATTTAGATAAGCTTCTCTTAATTTTATTTGTGGGATCTTTAACTTTTTCATAAATTGTATCGTCGTTCAGTTTTTCTTGCATTTTATTTACATAATCGTTGTAATTCATTATTACCGTTTTTCCACCTTTATCAGCAGCAATAGGGATGCAACGGTGACGATAACCGGTCTAATCGGTAACCGGTCTAACGGTAACCGTTCAACCGGTAACCGGTGTGGGCCAGTAACCGGTCAACCGGTAACCGGTGTGGACCGGTAACCGGTATGAACCGGTAACC